AAACCAAACAATGGATGACAGACTGGAAAAACTCAATTTACATTTCAGTTCCAAAAAAGGAGATGTCAAATACAACAGCAACTATTGGACCATTACATTAATTTCTCATGCAAGTACAGTTATGCTCAAAATCTTACTACACAGATTGTGATCATTTATGGAACGCGAAATGCCAGCTGTTCAAGCAGGATTCAGAAAAGGAAGAGGCACTAGACATCATATTGCAAATTTACATTGGTTATTGGACCATACAAGAGAATTTCAGAAGAAAATCAGCTGGTGTTTCATAGATTACAGCAAAGCTTCTGACTGTGTGGGCCATGACAGTTAATGCTGGTTTTAAAAGAAAGGGGTGTGCCACAGCATCTGATTGCTTCGATGCATAACCTGTACTCTGGACATGAGGCTACTGTTAGTACAAAATGCAGAGAAACAGAATGGTTTCTAGTTGACAAAGATGTCAGACAAAGATATATTTTCTTTCCTTTTTTCCCTATCTCTTTAGTCTGTATGCAGACATATCATAAGGAAAGGTGGATGAGATTTAAAGGAAGATGGAGTGAAAATTGGGAGAAGGAACATTAACAGTTTGAGATATGCAAATGACACCCCATTGTGGCAGAAAATATTAAAGACTTGAAATGACTAGTGCTAAAAGTTAAAGCAGAAAGTATCAGTGCAGGATTACAGCTGAACATCAAGACAAAACTAATCACTACAGGGGAATTACACTACTTCTTTAGGTTGATAATAACGGAATTGAAATTGTTCAAGATTTTCTATTCTTTAGCTCAGTCATCAACCCAAAGACAGATTGCAACCAATAAGTCAGAAGGAGATTTAGATCGGGAAGGGCAGCTATGAAGGACCTTGAAAAGATGTGTCGCTGGTGACCCAGATCAAGTTAATTCACGTCATAGTATTTCCCATTACTATGCACGGGTGTGAAAGTCAGACAATGAAGAAAGATGACAGGAAGAAAGTTGATTAATTTGAAATATGGTGTTGGAGGAGAGTTTTACAGATAGTGTGGATTGCCAAAAAGACAAATAAGTGAGTTTTAGATCAAATCAAGCTTTGACTCTCCCTAGAAGCTGAAATGACTAAACTGAGGTTACTGTACTTTGGTCACATTATGAGAAGGCAAGAGTCACTGGGAAAGACAACAATGCTAGGAAAAGTTGAAGGCAGCAGGAAAAGAGGAAGACCCAACAGGAGATGGATTTGACACAATCAAGGAAGCCACAAACCTCAGTTTGCAAGACCTGGGCAAGGCTGTTAATGAGAGGACATTCTGGAGGACATTAACTCATAGGGTCACCATAAGTCAGAAGTGACTTTACGGCACTTAATACACATACACACATTGAAATCAGCCTCATGGGCCCGGGCCCAGCCAAGTTCCACTGGACAACCAGTGGGACAACCCAACCCAACCAGTGGGACAACCCAACA